GTGGTAGCTTTCCAAGGGTCATTCGCTCCGGCGGCTTGCGGTCGAATTTCGAATTTGCAGTCAATTCACATATTTCAATATACATTAAATCTTAAAAATATATTTGTGGACATTTATTTAATTAGTAGTTGTTCGAATCGTTTAAAATAAGTGATTTTTGGAATAAAACAAAATTTGGTTAAACATATTTATCATGTACAATATAAAATTAATTTTCTAAGATTAATTCAATCATGCACTAACAATCTCTTTATATCTTATAGCTTTTATTTTTTATATAATTAAAGGAAAAATAAACATCTTAAAATTAGTTGGAGGAAATACATAAGTTTGGCCAAATAAAACAAATTTTTTTTTGTCATTAGCTCCTCATGGGGCATGGTTTTCACTTTCATTTTCTGTATTGGAATTTTCCTTTTTTATTTAATTTATTTAAAATTTCTTGAAGGGTGACGAGATTGAAAAGACTTAATAAATTTTGCCCCGTTATTTAAAAAGATAATATGTGTATATATTTAAAAAAAAAAAAAGATATGGATTTGCTGGGGCCATGAGGATGGGGAGGAACATTGGGTACTTTAAATCAAGATGCGACTTTTGGCGGGAGATTTGGGTGTCAAGACAGGGACCAATGAGGTGTCCATTTTTGTAGTTTTCCCATTTTGGGCTCCACCACCACTTTATTTCCCTTCCCTCTCCTTCTGTTTTCCTTTCTTTTTTAATTGTTTTTTCGGGTAATCACTATTTCGACTTTCAAGATTTTAAAGGGCCAAAAAGCCTCGTTCGCCACCCAGGATTTCTCATTCAAGCTCCTCCTTTTTTTAACTCCCCACGTGTCACACCCACTTCTTGTCCACGTGGCACAGTTGAACTGGTAGGTATGACCTTTTTCTTCAGTTACCAATGATTTATTATTATTAAATAATAATACAAATAAAAAAAAATCATTAGGTTTGGTACAATCACACATAAAAAGGGTTCTAGCTTCCTAATACTCCTATTCTTAACACCTATGTGTTTTCCTATGCTAGTGGACTGGTTAGAGATCTATTGAATGCTCATTGCCTAATTTTTTTTAAAAATAAAATTTAAAAAATTGTTTTGCATGTTTGAATTTTTAAATGGGTTAATTTATTATTGGTCGGCTATTTTGAGGCCCACAGCATTTCAAATTTTGACGAATAAGATGTAAAATTATCATAAATAAAAAAAAATGACTGCTGACTTTGTTAGGTTAATGTCAATTCAATTAGATAATTGCATTGTGTGGGCTCTCATTGCATTATATTTCAGTACTTTCTTTTTCCGTCGCCGTTTGTCAATTTTTGTTTTCAATTTTCGATTTAAACTTTATAATTGACATCACTTTTCTTATTTGGCAAATAATTTATTTGTGTGTGTGTGAATTCCTTATATGTATGGCTCCAAATTTGTATTAATCATTGATTTTGAAGAGTGATGAGCAGAAGTTTGACTTTTTTCATGATATGGTCGAATTTTAAATTTTTAAGAACAAATTAATCATTTGGTCCTTCCACGTTTAAAAGGAGAAGGAACGGACAAGCACCAGTTGGTTAACAGTATTTGTAATCTTCAGTTAAATAATTAACGGTGAGGATGTAATTATTAAACGGACCAAAAAAAATATGATAAGTTAAAAAATGACAAAAAAATAAGTTGAGATCCAATTTTCTTCAAATATGCTAAACAGGTCATAATCGAAATTTTGTTAGCTAATAAGAGTAAACATTTTTCGACACAAAGAATTGATAAAGAATTTTCTCGCACCTTATATTAATATAAGTTTATATTCTATTGTCAATATAAAATACTCCTCCGATCCTTAATATACGGATCTAATTGTTAAGTTAATTTTAATCCTTAATATAAGAATTATTTTTCATATTTATTAATTTTTTTAAAAATTATCCCTATGAATATTCTCTCAATTATAATCAACTAAGTGAGTTAGGGAAGATATTAAGAAAAATGATTATGATGTTTTGAAAAAAATATAACATGTTTTTTATAATTAACTAACTTACCTAACTTCCTTAATCTAATTAAATTATTTAAATAAATCTTATACTGAGGACCGGAGGAGTATCTGGTTGCTGAGTATTATCTAAATACTTTTACAAATACTATTTCCTTTAACATCAAATATAAAAGCCACCCCTACTAGTTAATTTTTTTAATATGGACAATCAGTAAAATAATTTGAAATTTTTTTTGAACTCGTGTAAAATAAGTTAAGATTTTGTATTTGTAATTAAATTAAATTTTCTAATTAATTCCTACATTTCGAACCTTGAGAAAGTATTTAGTATTAAAAACTAAGAACATCACATGAAACTTTCACAAAGTTAAATGAGAGCACATGACATGAACATTATTTAATTACAAAGGAAGAGTCATAGAGACGCGTTTTGACGCTTAGCTGGATTCAGGGTTTGTGATGGTTTTCAAACATACTTATAAGCATATTTTATATAAATCAAGATAAAATTTTTCTTACATATTTATTTTGTATTCTGTAAATTATAATTAAAAAATTACTTACAAATCATTCTAAAGGCTCTTAATCTTACAGTTAACTCCCATACATTTGTCACTGGCCATTTGCCTGAGTAATGTGCGCGTGCGGGTGGGGTGTGTGTTGCGGGCTCGATCCTAACCCATTTAACCCAAAAAAAAAAAAACTCCCATACATTTTCTTATCTGTTATCCATATCCTCAATTTTCAATGTATTATGATATATCATAAAATTTTAAAATAAATTATGTTATTTGCAAATCATAAACCATCTAACTCATTTATTAATTTCCTTTACTGTATGAAAACAAGTGTACTTTTCTTTTGTGAGTACATATAACTATATCTAGATATTTGATATATTTTATTATTGATATAATATTAATATGATAAAAAAATTTATTTCAAAAACAAAATTAATATTCACAACATTTTAATAAAAATCACTCAAATTATTAATTGTCGACAAAAATTGTCCCATCAGACAAGAATCTCACATCACTTATTGGCTGACTGGATATATTGTCCCATTCAAATATGATCAATTCGGTTTGCTGGATGAACTCAAACACAATGTTAAAAGTTATCAACAATTGGAAGCTTTGAGTGTATGATCTTTTAAGTACATATACTAAATTAATTAGCCCCATTTTTCAAATTATTTGGTTTAGCTTTTTTTTGTAAAAAAAATTTTAGGTGAGTTGACTTTGTTAGGAGTTTACCAGGCTTAAAAAACACTCATAGAAATACTTACAGATCCCACCAACAATGTCTTCATGTCAGTAGTAAAAGTTGAACTTGTAATATTTTGGATTATAAGCTAAATTTTGCCGAACTAATTTGTGTATACATTTTTGTGCAGTTAAGCACATTTTTATTTAATAGTAAAAGGATTTTTAGAATCATCATTAAACTTATATAATAAAAATAAATAATTTGAAGAATGTACCTATGGTTCTTTATTTTAATCAACGTGCTGGCAACTCTCTATTCTTGCTAATAATACCCACGTGCTTCTCTCAACTGAATTAATAGTTCAAATTTCTCTGCAATAAGAGGTGGAAGAAGTTAAGAGTTTTTCTTTTCCTTGTTAAGAAGCAATCCACCATCTCATATTTTTAGTACAAAAGCTAATTTAATATTTAATTTAGTTTTAAATATAAAAACCCAATCCATTTTGTCTCTCATATTTATTTATTTTTTCTTAAAGTAATCCATATAATAGTTGCACATGTTAAATATTTTCTTAAATGGTAGTTCTAACTAATACATATGATTAATAAAAATATTTTAAGAAAAATAATATTTATTTATTATAAATAATTAACTTAACTAATTTATTAGAAAATTAGCTCTTATATTAAAGAGTAAAATAGTATTAAGCTAAACTGTTGGATGGACGGTCAAATACAGGTCAAGTAGGATCGTCTCGCTTTGTGCCAAAGATTTTCTCCTATTTAATATCATTTTTGTTTATTGTGAAAAAAACGCATAATACAAATATTCCTTATTTTATTTTATTTTCATACAGTGCTCTCATTATTAATGACACTATCTTTTCTCCTACATTAATATTCTCATAAAAGGGTGTGTCAGGAGAAGTAATACACAAATTTTTTTTTGCAATAATAACAAATAATATTCAACTTAACTAAATTTTCTTAGTATTTATAAATTAGTTAAATATGCTATATAATGACTAAAAGGAGCAAAATGAAACTTAAAATTTTTTTTATCAGGTACCTTTTCAGAATATATGCGAATGATCCTTATTACTACATCCGGTTCTTAATATAAGACTTTGTTTGACTTTCATTTTGGTTTTAAATATAAAACCCCAATTCATTTTATCTCTCATATTTATATATATATTTTTAAAGTAGTCTTTCTAACAATAGTAATTTTAATCAATATACTTGATTAGTAAAGATATTTTAGAAAAGACAACACATATTTATTACAAATAACTAACTAAACTTCTTTTTTTAATCTTTTTAAATTAGTCAACTAGTTCTTATGATTAGAACCAGAAGTAGTATAAGTTATTTGATGGGTACTAATTCAGTTTTTTTTTTTAATATCACCACCCACATTTAAACTTTAAAGACATTATTAACTATGAGAATGTACAGGAAAGGAAGTACCCCATATGTTTAAATAATAAGTAATACACACACACAGAATGCAATGATAGGTTCACCGAGTAATGTACTGTACAGTGCACGCAGCATTCTCATGGAATTCAGCGTTTTATTCAAACTTCCCCTCATGCCCGCGCACTCTCCGAACAATAAATCCGTTGATTTTAATATTTTTATAATTCTCTCTCTTTTTTTTTAAATCGCCATTCCTCTTTTCTAGATTTCTGATTTCTTGTAAGAGAGAGATCAGAGAAGAATAATACGACGCCATGACCGTTTTGAAAAAAGCTCAGGAGAGAGAATGACTGCGTTGGAAACAAAATACTACCAAATGAAACCAGACGCCCCACATCACTCCTCTCTGCTCTAGAATTTAAAAAGCTTTCAATTTTCAATCAATCAATCTCTACGCGTCCATTTACCGAATCCTTAATCACTCTCACTATATTCATTCATTCGTTTGTTCATTGCCCAGGTATTTGCCTGCTCCTCACACAACCACATGCTTCGACTTCAATCTACTTTTGCTTTCTGATATTCCCAAAGTTTATCATTTTTCTTTCTTTTAGATCTACGCACTTTTCTGGGTAATCGATTAGATACCCAAAAAAATACCATTTTGATTTAACCCTATGCGCCCTTTAGTGATCCATTTATGTATTCTTCATTGCCCATTTCCAATCTGTACCATTTCAGTGTCACCTAATTTGAGCATTTGGCTGTGCTTTCTTTTACAGAGGGAGATAGGATCCGAGGAGGGTTTTGGCTTTTGGCAAGGTAACTTTTGGGGATGGAATTTATGCTTATTACGGTTCCCGTTTTTGAAAAACCCAATACACAGTTTTTATTACTAGTACATCGGCGTAAAGGTGAATGAAAGAGAAGGAAGTGGAAGAAAGATGGTTTTTGCCCCCCTTTTTTAATAATTTTTTAAAAAAGTTTTCATATTTTATAAAAGCAGAGAGCGTCGGGCTTAGCATGCAACTTGGCTCCAGTCAAAGGAAGGAGCGTCCGACAAGGAGAGCCTCCCCATTACAATAAACCCTTCAAGCACAGAGAGATATGGGGAAGCTGAAGCAGCAGCAGGAGCTGGGTAAGCAAGAAGAATCTCAGAAGAAGGAGCGTCATATTGTGACGTGGACACAAGAGGTCTTTCAATATTATATTCCATTTTTATCTATTTATTATTCATTGTCAATCCACTTCACTATCTCATAGGTTGTGTGTGAGTTGCAGGAAGATGATGTATTGAGGAAGCAGATAAGCATCCATGGAACTGAAAAGTACTGATTCCCTTCTCACTGTTCTTTTGGGTTTACTAGTGCCACCATTTTCCTGGTTATTTGAAACTGAGGGATTTTGAATCGCATTAACTGTTTGCAGTTGGGCAATTATCGCATCTAACTTCAAAGACAAAACGACAAGACAGTGCAGAAGAAGGTGAGGTTTTTTAAATTGGCAGTGTGGTTTCTTGGAATCCTCTGTTTCATCCTTTTCACAATCAACTAATGAAATCTTTTTTAATGAGTTATTATTGTTTCAATCCGATGATGCCTAAGTAATAATTAGTTGTTAATATATCAGATGGTACACTTACTTGAACTCTGATTTCAAGAAAGGAGGATGGTCGCCGGAGGAAGACTTGCTCTTATGTGAGGTAAACTGATGATTTGATGCTACTTCAAATTTTTGATTTCTTTCTTTCTTTCCTTCTTTCTTCTCTTTTCTTTTTATGTTTTACCCCCACTCCTTCATCGATTTGAGAGATATAAAATGATGGCTAAAAAGATAATCTTCTATGTGAGTAGTTTAGTAGATGATAGAATTTATAATTTCACCAAAAAACGTTTTTGTTTCCCTCGTGTTATCTGATATTATGCTGCTCTATATAGGCTCAGAAACTATTTGGCAACAGATGGACTGAAATAGCAAAGGTGGTTTCAGGCAGGTAAACAAAAGTCCAGTCTTTGATTCATGGAAGTATCAAATATACAATATTCCTGTCGTTGACAGTCAAGCTCAATGCAATGCTTTTTATCCAGAACGGATAACGCTGTGAAAAACCGTTTCTCCACTCTGTGCAAGAAGAGAGCAAAATTTGAAGCCTTGGCAAAAGAGAATAACACTTCGTTCACTGTTTCAAATAACAAAAGAACTATTTCCCAGCAGGGTGATAACAGAGAGTCAACATCAGAGGCTGCGGCACCTGCTAAGAGGATGAGGTATTCATTACATTTATTGGTCTCAAATAAGTGAAATAAACATTCTATGAAGAACATTGATAGATTTCATTCTGTTTCTATCTCAATATAGGAGAGCCCATATCCCTGATGCTACAGAAAAGATCAACTATGGAAACAGATCCCATAAGCAATATGAAGCGACAATAAAACAGCAGCCAAGAGCGCCATTTTCGATTTTGGCTCAGAACTTGTCAGATCAGCATGAAGCCTCCAATGACAAGATCAGCAGAAATGGTAATTTGTTTAAATTGGCTGTGGAGCTTATTCTTGCTATTGTGATACCTGAAATGGAAGAGCAGAAAGGATTAATGTATGACTTTTGGAGCTAGGTTACTGGAGGTTTTGGAAATCATTTTATGCCAATGTAACTCTCAGTTTGTCATGACTTTGCAGCCTATGATTGCAAGACTCAAGGAACATTTCTTAAAGAGGATGATCCAAAGATAAGCGTGTTGATGGAACAAGCGGAGTTATTAAGTTCACTAGCTCTAAAAGTTAATACAGATGATGTGGACCAGAGTCTTGAAGACGCATGGAAGGTGAGGGGTTGGGCTGAGTTTCTGACCATTGTTTACTTTGAGTATTAAATACAACAATGTATGATTCTTCAAGAATGATCTTCTCGGTTGTTGTATATCAAAAACGAGAAGTAACTAGTCAGGAGTCAAACCCGTTGATAGGAAAATCATGAGTCATTCAACATAGTTGGCATTGACTTTAGAAACTCAAATAACTATTCACATTGCTGGAATATATTTTAGGCACTAAGTCTATTCTGCAAGACCTCAATGCATTCATTGCTATGCAAGAACTGATAGTTATGATGCTCACCCGCTCAATCAGAAGCAAACTGCAAATATCAGGCACTACATATTCCGTCTTTTGCCTAATAGCAAGTACCATCTGAATCATCTATATTGGTATTGTTGTCCTGAAAATTCAGAAATAGCTTTATTGATAAGTTTGTTAGCATACAGTCAGTATTAAATGCTTAATAATGATAAGTTCCTAAGTTAAATATGCACTGCCAGCTGCGGTCCATAAAGCTTAGTTCATGAATGATATAAAGAAGAACGTAATTGTTCATATTCTTCAAACATTTTTTGATGCTTTAAAGTGATGATGCTAGGTACTTCAAGAGTTTCTGAACCAAACCAAAGAATCAGATATTCTCAAATATAATATTTCGGATTTACAGCTCGTAGATCTTAAATATATGATGGAGGAATTTAAGAGTAGTAATGAGGGAAGCCAGCAATGTTGGAGGTACATTTTAGATTTATTGAACATTTAATTTAATGCAGGCTCAACCTGTAGTTTCTTGGGAAAAAATCTCATATTTCTTCAATATGTTGAAGGCAACCAGAACTATATGAAGACTCTCCAAGCAGTTCTGAATACAGTACAGGATCAACTCTTCTGCCCCACTCAGCAAGTGATAATCTGGAACACTCTCTGCTTCAGGATATGGCAACTGATCTAAAGCCTATCCAACTTGGAGATCAAAAAGGAGTCAGTGAATGTGGGAAAGAGGATCTCTCTTCTGCAACTGTAGGTCAAGGTAAGATGACCCTGGCCCCTTACAAGGGCAAATATGGTTTTCTAATTTGTGGTATGCTAATATTGTCATGAATCATAACTGGCAAATAATATATTTCTTTCAATGGCAGATATCTTTCCATCTTGTGAGGAACAGATAAGCAATGATGGCATTGCTTCTACCTCATCAAGCACAGAGTTCAATTCCCCTCTTCAAGTTACCCCTATGTTCAGATCTTTGGCCGCAGGAATTCCCAGCCCACAGTTTTCAGAAAGTGTAAGTTGCCCATGCACTTTGAAATTATTTAACAATCTTAAGGTCCAACAGCTAAATTATGGTAGTAATAGTAGTGAAGATTATAACAATCCTTGTAAAACTAAGGGGATTTGAGAGACAAATGAACCCTTTTATCAGCTATAGTAATTCTAATACTACCTCCGGTCCTAATTACAAAATCTCATTTATAGTTTACAAACAAGATCTTATAATTAGAACTGTAGGTAGTGGTTCTTATGCAGTCTCGACATTAACTGGCAGCAAGACTTCCTAAACGCTGAGATGATTATTATTGCAATAGTAAGCTGACTTGAATTTGTCTAAAAATGTGCTTATAAAGAAATCATGTTAAATAAGACTGACTGGAAAAGTTCTGCCTTGCCAGAATCAATATGCAGTTTGTTTTGGCCATACATTCGGTTTGTTGTTCTCTCAGTTCAGATAAATTTTAAAAAGTATGGTTGAAATGGGGCTATTCCTAGTGACACTAAAAGCTTTGCTTTTTTGAATCTGTGGCTTAACTGATCTCATTGAGGAAAATGTTTTATTCTTATAGACATTTCATTGACAGTTCCTTTCTATTTTTCGAACAACATAACATTTTCTTTTGAAAACAAGCATTTTTCGGACATAAGACGGTAAATATTATACATAAATAAGGAATATTTCAAATGAATAAATTACAGTTGCAACGCATTGCTTCTAGTCTCAAATAAAGAACAATTACGACAAAGGAGCATGTAAGATAATTTTGGTCACAATGGAGACAAATTCCTCACTAATTTTGCTTCTATTTTCAGATATGTTGATCATTTAAATGAACTAATTGATTTGTTTCCTTGACAAGATAGGCATATGTAAACTATTGATAAAAAATATGGACGAGGGAGGCATTTACCTAGCATAGGGTCAACCTATAACACCAAATTATCAAAAAATAAAATAAAAAGGAAATAAAAACAAAGAAGAAGCAAACAAGACATCATATTAAGTAAAAAGAGTGTACGCTGTTCAGTATTATCCCATCATCTCCTCAAGATTTTAAGAATGTGTGTGTAACTTTGTCTAGTCTGCTGAACTATGTGGATTGCATGATACTGTACTGCTGAATGGTCCAAGATATTATAACTGAAGAAGTAATAGAGTTTCACATCCCGCATATGAATTGCTTCTTTTCTCTCTAATTTATACATACATACTCCCCCTGGTCCTAAATAGTTAAGATGCTTATTTGTAATTAATATGTAGAGAATCTGTAACCTTTTTTTTTTTTTTTGTAAATTGTCCCTTCCATTTAATAATTAAAATTTAACTTGTAGAGATAAAAATGCCCCAATAAATTTTATGAAAAAGAAACAATTAATATAGGAAATAAGAAGAAATTGAACCTTATATTTAGAATCCAAAGGAGTACTTATTACATCAATCCTATTGCATCATGAGCAAGGGTGGTTATCCACTGATGTACCTATTAATATTCGTATTAAACTTCTATTATGCAATTATCAATAATCTTTGACTAAAAGTTACCAGAGATGTCTCTAAAGTGGAGGGATCTGAGTTTAAATCCCAATGAAAACCAAAATTACAAACACACATTCACACCCTTGTGTGTGAAAGTTTGTTGCAAGACTAACCCCTTGTTTCTTTCTTTGACATCTTTCTTCTGCAGGAAAGGAACTTCCTAATGAAAACGCTTGGATTGGAGTCCCCATCCATGAACCCAAGTGCCAACCCATCACAACCACCACCCTGCAAAAGAGCCCTACTACACAGTCTATAATCTAATCCCCCTCTTCAGTTGGTAATGAAAAATTCGACTCCCTCGCCCCTTCTAGAATCCTTTATCTCTACCCTTGGCAATTCAAGCTCATCTTTGCTTGGTTTTGAGATGAGATCCCTGAGATTGCAACCTCATTGTCTTAATGATCCTAAAATTTTGAAAAAGGCGTCATCCTCTTCCTCTCCCCAAGAATGCTCCGGTGCATTCTTGTGATAATTTGACATATCTAACAATGTCATTCCTCCATACCCCGCAGTCAGTCAGACTTACCCTTTTTTTAAAAGCTGCACTCAAGATTAGTTTGCTTAGTGTGTCATTATTTGGCTTGTTTTTCTCTTGATACCATTCTGGATTTGTTTTGGTTCAATCCAGCTCTTGGTCATGATTTGTTTCTTTTTTGTACAGAGTCTGCTATGTAAGCAGTAGTCATTCTGAGTGTGTATACATCGGCCCATCGCCTATCCTACTAAATATATGAACAGAAACAGAAATAGAAGAGAGAGAAAAAATTTAACCAATGGGAAATTGGTTTCCTATTTGTTGTTTGGGTGTGCATAAAGTATAGAATAATATATATATGGATTTTTGATGTACTGAAACTTCAGAACGGTTGGAGTGGAAATGCATTTTGGTTTTTGGTGTGCCTCTACTGTTTCCGTTGTCTCTTTACTTTTCTGGATTTAATCTAGTGAAGCAACATAACAGAAAGCGAAGAACGTCTCAGTAGAAGAAGATTAGAAGAGTAGAGTTTCGCATTGACTCCACCACCCCCATTTCACCAGAAAGAAGAGAACACTAAATGGAAAAACGCTAGAAAACCATAGAATCATAGGAAAGCCTAAATGTCACCCAATTTATTGATGTTCTCTCTTTCACACCCTTCTGCAAAAGACACAGATTCCCAGCCACAAAAAGCAAAAGAAACTTAACAGGAAATGAAGAACGAAATGAAGTGTACTTACTGATATATACACAGAGAAACTAGTATTATGACCTGGCAGAGGCGTGCAGACCCCTCTCTCTCTCTCTCACGGGGTACAAGGTTTGTTGGCCATGGAGTTCAGGGAGAAGTTGGATGTTATTAAGTAAGAAGCTGGAGAAGGTCGCAAGAGGTTAATGGTGGTGGAAGACAGAAGGCATATAATAATGAGGAAACCAAAAAGTAACTGGTTAAAAGGAAGCGAGGGAACTCCCCTCAAAATAAAGTGCTTTCATTTGTGCCCTCACTTTATCAACGGAAGGTACACCGCCTGCCCCCACTTTGCATTTACTTGATTTAATTTTACGTTACCCGACATTTTTCCTACCAAGAAAAAAAAAATCAACAAGTAATACATCATATACAATCTTTGGTGATATATATCATATAAAATTTGTGATAACATAATTCATAGGTTACAAATAATATAACTTGTTATATAAAAGTCATATATAATATGTGAGAAAATGTATTTAGTACTACTTGCCCATAATTCATATACATTTAGCATTAGTTTAAAGTCGGCATATTTCAAATAGAGTCATCATGTGTCAGTCAATGATGGAAGAAAGAAAGCAATCATTCATTCTTCTAAAATCTTGTCATCCACATTCCTGTAAATTCTCAATTTCTCATTTCAGCATTAATTCTTCGCTTTTCGCCTCTTTGTAACAATCATTGCTTAAACTTTAAAGGAGTGGCTCTGTGGCCTATTGAAATGAATATTTTGTGTATATCAGAAGCCAAGTTCAATCCTACTTACAACCTCAAGCTATTAATACTTACTTAATTCAAAAAAAAAAAAAACACTGGAGTGGTGCCATCTAAACTGCCCGCAGTTGATTTAAGCAAACTTCCACCCGCAAGAGGCTAAACAAAGTGATAGACTGATTAAATGTTGTTACTTCACACGATAATGTAACGTTTGGTTAATCCACTCAATAAGAGTCAGAAGAAACAGACAATGAACTTGAGGATTAAATCCGGAAATCACACTTACAGATGGTAAGGCTCTACACTAAGATACAAGGAGGCAACTAATAGTAACCCCGCCAGAAACGAGCAAGACACTACCTACACTTGTACTACTCAAAAAAAGAAAAGAGGGAGAAGAAAATAAGAACCCATATTTTAGTTGTCGATACGGATGACGCAAATGAAAAAAGGAAAAATCCAATGTATAATTCCATTTGGGCTTGATGCACCTTTCAAAAGTAAAAGAAGAGATAATAACAAGGGGGTTGACCGGCAAATGAGCTGAAAAGGCACTAACGTTTAAATTCAAAATTGCTTAAAGGGTTCTTTTTCACGTCGTCTTTCTCTTTTTCTGAGATCTCAGCAACTTCTGCCACTTGAGGTAGATCTGGTAAGACAATCCAGAGAATACCATGAAAACGCATCCCCATTGCTTGTATGATAAAGGATTCCCGCTCATTAGTGACGACCCCACAATGCCAACAAACTTGCGAGTGGTGGTGATCGTGGTGTTTGCCAGAGATCCAAATCGGCCTATAGTTAAAAAGATGAAGTTCTGGCCCACCGCACCAGACCAACAATATAGAAGAATATCCCATGCTGCCTCTGGATGTTGGACGCAAACGCGAATTGCCTCAGATCCTCTCCCATATGGCAAGGCAAACATGTATATCATATTGTACACGGTAGCCCACAAATTCATGCCCCACATTATACCACAAGCACTTGTTTTTGGGTACGTGAGCAACACAAACATACACTTTAAAAAGTTCCAACTTTAATAATTCAATATAAACGCATCAACCAGAAGCTCAAATATATAACTTTGTGCATGCAACAGACAATTTAGTATTTCCCACAACAAGCATCAGAAATGTTACATATAACAATCAAAAGAAATGATACAAATCAAACACATCCAGCTGAAGTTTGCTTTAAAATGACATATATCAAACCATCAACCAGAGATAATAATAACAGGGACGATATGGCCTGCACGCAACCAGATATCACATGGAAGAAGAAGTAGAAGAGAAAGCCAGAAGAAAAGCTATATATGTATGCATCTAAACTGCAAACTCCGCCTATATTGTATAGCCAGTCCCAAGCCCGGATAAAGAAGGAGGGTTGTGTTAGGCCCTCGATAGTCAACGTAAAAACCCGTCAAATCTCATGAACATGGATCAACGAAGTAATTACGCTAATGCTAGGTCGTTGCCCAGAAGTGACACGCTGTATGGCTCGAGTACAGTGAGAAATGAGCTAGAGCCGCTGCATCGTCGCTCGAATGTAGTGTTAAATGAGCGAGGGCTACCGCACTCTCTTGGACGGAGGCGGCTAAAGGAGTTAGTTCATGAGACTGAGATTAGATTTGGCACTTGGAATATTGGGACGCTGAATGAGAAATCTATGGAAGTAGCAGGAGTTATGAGGGACAGAAGGATTAATATCTTGTGCCTCCAAGAAACCAAATGGACTGGAGAAGCTGCCAAAGAACTTGGAGAGTATAAACTTTGGTATACAGAAAAGGTGAGTGCAAGGAATGGGGTTGGTATCATCGTTGATGGAACATGGAAAAGAAACGTGGTAGAGGTTAAAAGGTTTGAGGACAGAATAATATCGTTAAGAGTAATTGTTGGAAAAGATACTATCAATATCATTAGTGTCTATGCACCTCATGTTGGGGCAGAGACACACCTTAAAGATAAGTTCTGGGAAGATATGGAGGGGTTGGTTCAAAGCATACTACTCGAAGAAAAAATTTTATCGGTGGGACCCTTAATGGACATGTCGGTAAGGAAGCAGGACAATTCAGCGGGGCCCATGGTGGTTTTGGTTTTGGGGAGCTTAATAGTGGAAGACAATATATTCTCGACTTTTCTCTTGCATATAATCTTAAGATTGTCAACACTTGTTTTAAGAAGCGAGAGGAGCATTTAATCACGTACAAAAGTAGTGTCTCAAAATCACAGATTGATTTCTTTTTGGTTAAGAATCCAGACAGAAGATTGTGTACTAATTGCAAAGTGATTCCAGGAGATGGGGTGACTGCCCAACATAGAGTACTTATTCTTGATGTATGTTTTAAGAGTACCAGGCAAAAGTACTATCAAGTGGTAAAACCCAGGGTTAGGTGGTGGCAGTTAAAGGGTGAGAAACGAGAGTTATTCAAAAGGACCCTTGTGGAGGAAGGGATTTGGGAGTCGCAGGGAAATGCAAACATGATGTAGGAAGAGATAGTTACAAGGGTTCGTTTGGTAGGTAAAGAAATTTTGGCAAATCCAAAGGTCCTGGTCAGAGAGATAAGGAGACTTGGTGGTGGGATAAAAGTGTGCAAGAGAAAGTCAAACAGAAAAGAGATTGTTTTAAGGCCATACACTTGTGCAATAGTGTAGAAAACCGGGAAAAGTATCAGTTGGCTAAAAAAAAGACGAAGAAAGCAGTGAGCGAAGCACGTACTAAAGCTTATGAAGGGTTTTATCAGGAGTTAGGAACAAAGACGAGAGAAAGAAATATTTACAAGATTGCGAAGCAAAGGGAGAGGAAAAAGAGAGATTTGGACCAAGTAAAGTGTATAAAGGATGAAGATGGTAAAGTGTTAGTTACTGATGGTGATATTAAGGACAGATGGGAGGCTTATTTTTACAGGTTGTTTAATGAGGGAAGCAATTATGCGACTCAGGACTTACAGGACTTGCTAATTAACGAAGATGATCAGAATTTGGCTTTCTACCGCAGGATCCGTATCAGAGAGGTTAAAGCGGCTCTCAAGAAAATGGACAATGGAAAAGCCGTTGGGCCTGATGGTATCCCTATTGAAGTTTGGAAACGTCTGGGAGATGAGGGTGAGGTGTGGCTAACCAAGCTTTTTAATGAAATTTTATGCTCTAAGAATATGCCGGATGAGTGGAGGAGAAGCATTTTAATTCCTATTTACAAGAATAAAGGAGACATTCAAAACTGTGCAAGCTACAGAGGGATATAAAACTTATGAGTCATACAATGAAGTTGTGGGAAAAAGTGATGGAATATAGGTTGAGGCTGGAGACTTCTATTTCAGAAAACCAATTTGGATTTATGCTAGGGAGATCCACTTCGGAAGCAATCTATTTACTAAGAAGGTTAATGGAAAGATATAGAAAGGGATTTACATATGGTCTTTATTGACCTGGAAAAAGCTTACGATCGTGTGCCAAGAGAAGTAATGTGGAAGGCTTTGGAAAAAAAAAGGTGTACGGGTTGATTATATCAAAGCCATACAAGATATATATGAGGGGGTAACTACCAGTGTAAGGACGCCTGGAGGTGAGACAAAGGACTTCCCTATTCAGATTGGCCTACATCAGGGATCCTCTTTGAGTCCGTACTTGTTCAACATGGTTCTGGATGTTCTAACTGAACCTATTCAAGAAAGAATCCCTAAGTCCATGCTTTTCGCGAATGATATAGTTCTCATGGCGGAATCAAAAGAAGAAATTAACACTAGATTGGAGTTATGGAGAAGGACGTTGGAGTCGAAAGGTTTCCACTTGAGCAGGAACAAAACAGAATATATGCATTGTGATTTTGGGGGGAGGCAAGGCAATGGGGATTTGGAGGTGAAGATGGGGGAGCAAATCATTCCTCAAGTATCAAAGTTTAAATACCTAGGATGCATTATACAGGAAGATGGGAAAATTTGTGGAGACGTTTCTCATAGAATACAAATTGGTTGGTTAAAGTGGAGGAAAGCTACCGGAGTTATTTGCGATAAGAAGGTACCTGAGAAACTTGAAGGAAAATTTTATCGGACTGCTATAAGACCGGCTATGTTGTATGGTAGTGAATGTTGGACAATAAAGGGAAAACAAGAGCACAAAGTTGAGGTAGCAGAAATGAGGATGTTGAGATGGATGTGTGATCATGCAAGAAAAGATAGGATTCGAAATGAAAATATTAGAGCAAGAGTCGGTGTGGCACCTATCCAAGAGAAAATGGTTGAAAATCGCTTAAGATGGTTTGGACATGTGCAGAGAAGGCCATTGGAGGTCCCGATGAGGAGGGTGGATCAGACAAGATGGAGTCCCATTAAAAGGAACAGAGGAAGACAAAAAAGAACGCTTAATGAGGTCATTGAACGAGACCTCCTAGTCAACAACATATCTAAGGACTGGGTTGTTGACAGAGCACGATGACGTCATGTGATTCATGTAGCCGATCCCACCTAGTGGGATAAGGCTTGTTGTTGTTGTATGCATCTAAACTGCACAAGCAAGGTTTGTTACAGTCAATTCAGATGCCTTCTTCCACACTGTATTGGATTTCCCTTTGCCAGGTAAACCAAATCGAATGTACTGAAGAAGAAATAATAATATCATTTCATAACCTCTCTTTTTTTGCCAGAAATTTCTTTCAAAAAATTCTATATTGGGCTCTCTTTGCTTCTATTGGCCATCAAGTACAACCAGTTTATTAGCTGTGAGGTCACGCAACAGAGAAACATTCTTTTGACGGAAAAACAGCGCTGATATCAAATAACGCCTCCCAAATGGCTTGCAAAGCACAGGTCTTAACGCATCTTTGTATCCCATATACAATATAATCACCATTTATGTACATTTAAATGTACTACTAACAGATAACCACTTTAAATGTACTACTAACACATAACCACCACTAAAAACGCAGTTTCATATCCATGACACCAAAGGGAGAGAAAGAAGCAGAACAGAGAGTGGGAGAAATCAGAAAAGACGATGTGAAGTTAATGCAGCGGTTCGAGTTTAATCATGCACTTGCTCTCAGTCAGATTTGAATTGCCATATGCGAAACCAGTACATGGAAAAGCTTCCTTTTCATTGCCTTGCTTTTAAGGAATCCTGAGTAGCATTTGTAAATCCATCGAAAGCAAGGTTTACTAAACATAGCCCATAACCGAGGGGAGCATTTGGATGTGCAAGCTTGCTGATAGTCCTGGAGCTTGTCTGCAAATAAGATAAGAAAACATAAGAAACTGAAAGATGAGCTACATTCATAGTTCTAAAGCGGCCAAAAAATCTAAAATCACGCTCGAATCCTCTAAGACGTTCCTAACCTTTAGAAGTGCAAAAGTTGTTACCCCTCCGGCAACAAGGAATGAACAAAGGTATTCAGGAATAGTGTATCTTATGCCATGGACTAATGTACCCATCAGCGTAACTGCATCATGTGAGTTAAAATATTTTATATGTTAAATGAAATGATAACATTTTAATTTTAGAGTAGTTTACACACAATCCAGAAATTCTTAATTAAACAGGAGTAAGCAAAAGAAAAGTGGAGGGAAGAAAAGATAAAGCGCAAACTACTGACCTGGAATCATTTTAGAGGACTTAGCAAGGACCTGCAAGTAGTGAACATAATATTATGTCGATGATAAAAGAATGATAACGAAGGAGGCCATAAAAGAAATTTGTAAAGGGCCATACCTGCGCCGGGTAACTGATATATTTCAACGCTTGAATTCCCATAGCTGGGCCACTTGTATTGGTAATGGCAGCACTCCAGTCAGACCACCAAGGAGCACCACCAGAACCTTCATCGGACCATATCTTTATCACTGGTGTAATAAACCACCCAGGTCAAAGAAGAAATATTTACAGACCATTTTACACACGTTATGAACAAAAATACCAGTTAGGACAGAAACTCACTGATGTATGACCAGAATACGCGTACTACATTCTGTGCCAAATTTAGAAATGCGAGGTGCTCGAACCTCTGGCCATCAGGACCAAATCGCTTGGTCGACCCATGTGACAAAGGACGAGATACATGAGAATGTTCGTAACTTAGAGAGCATACAGCAGAAACGCTCATATGGATTCAGATAAAGCTCAAAGAAAGTATCGAACGTATCAAAGGGAAATTAGGAGAGGAATATTCTTTACTTACAGAGTTTCGTGGAGAAAACACTGGTAGATATAGGCAGACCAAATCCCGGAAATACAAAACACCAAGAGTAACACACGGCGGATTCCGGCGGTGAGCCTTCATCAAGGCGCCACAATGTGCCCGCCAGTTCCTTCTGCAAGGTAGCTTTCTGGCGGAACAGAACGGGACGGAACAGAGCAGTGAAGAACGAAAAAGCGACCATGAGGAAAGAGCCCCAAGCGTGGCAGAAATTCCACGGGGCAAAATATGATTGGATGCTCCACGTGTGATTAAAGTATTGTCTCTTATTATATTAGTACTCCTCCTGTTTTTAATATAAGACCCATTTAACTAATTTGATTAGATTAAGGAAGTTAGATAAGTTAGTTAATTACAAGAAAAGTGACACATTTTTTCTAAAACACCATAATCATCTTTATTAATACCCCCTCTCTCTCTTCTACTTGATTATGGTTGAGGGAGTATTCATAGGGGTAATTTAGAGAAAATTGATAAATATGAGAAATGGGTCTTATATTTAGGATCAAAACCAACTTAAAAATTGGGTCCTATATTAAGGACAGGAGGAGTATTAATTAATGAACTTGTAATTATAATGCTACTTCGAGCTCCCACAATCTCTCCTCATACCGTACCATGATGCCATGTCATATTCTCACACTTTACCTCACCATCTCTAAACCTTTTTGCTGGGCCAAGTTTAATTTTATATCTGGGCTCTGAACTTTTTTGCTGGGCCAACTTTCTATCACTAAACTCACATCACAACCTTTTTTTTTTTAATTTCTATTAACAATTTCAATAATCATATTTATGCTCTGGCAGACAATATCACAGCAAAAATCTCCTACGAAGTAAAGTTGGTAAGAAATAAGTCATAAGTTCAAATCTTACTATTAATATAGGAACTTTATTTGTAGATAGTTTATAAGTATTTTTATAAAGGCTTTTTAAGTTTTAAGATATGTACTAGTTTTAACGAGCTTTTCAGACCTAACTTACTCAAACATGAGGATTTTAAAACTAGTTTTTAGGAAATTATACCAATAACATTTCTGGTTTCTGGATCGGGCCTTGAAAAAAGTCATCATAACAACAAGGAGTAATTAACATTCTAATTTCCCTATTAATGACTAATTAATAATGGTAAGATGAGATTCCACCTGCCATTTTATTTAATTACATAGTAAGGCCACAATTGCAACATGAAGAGACCAAAATGGTAGGACATTCTGAAGTGGTCAAGTGGCACAGATGTGAGGCAACTGAAAATAATGACCAAGGCCACAGCATATGCCATGTCGCTTTTTTAGTATTTGATTGACGTTGTGAATCTTGCCCCCACTTGACAATTCCACTTCTAATTAATTATTCCATTTTTAATTGGACTCGGTCAACTATCCATTATTTTACTATATATTACCTCTGATTCTTAACATAAGAGATAATTTGATTTTTAATTTGGTCTTAAATATAAGATTTTAATATACTTTATCTTCAATATTTATCCCTTTTTTCCCTTCAACTAATTTTTATAGTAGTTGCATATGTTACGGATTTACTGTCAATTTGTAATTCACATGCACATAATTGATAAGAGTATTTTAGGAATGACAACTTCTATTTATTATAAATAATTAATTTAACTAAAAGACAATGTCTATTTATTATAAATAATTGACTTAATTAATTTTTTTAATCTCCTCAAATTAATCAATAAGGTCTTATATTAACGACTGAAAGTAGTATAAGAGTTTGTTTGACTTTTATTTTGATTTTAAATACAAGATCATAATCCACTTTATCACTCATATTTATTCATTTTTTAAAATCATTCTTGTAATAACAGTAATCCTAGTCAATATACCTGATTAGCAAGGATATTTTTAAAAAGATATCACATATTTATTACAAATAACTAATTTAATTAATTTTTTTAATCTACTTAAGTGACTTAACTAGCGCTCTTGGAAATTTTTTTTTTTTTGGGACTCAAAGCGCTCTTGGAATTTAGCAATGTTGAAATATCAAATTAAACAAAAAGACAAATTATTGTAATTACGAGCTTTGCGTGTAGAGGACACCATCAAGTTGGGGTTGATAGATTCGTTGAACTAAGCAGGACCAGCATTTAATAGCGTTCGGTAGATAAATATAAAAGGAAAAAATTGATCACTAGTCCCCACAAACCATACATAATTTGTTATTCTTTTCAATTACAGGGGCAAGCAGCAAACAGTTTGAAAGCCATAAATAATATCGAACTTACAATCGAACACTTACAAGGGAGCAAAACTATACATAAAGTCATTGACTTGATTTGTAATTTACTAATTCCTAAACTTCATACTTCTCTAAATCAATCCATATTCAAACATAAATTTTAATAAAAAAGAAGTCAGTTGAGTGAAAACAATAACGTTTGGGATGGTTTTGAATGCAATTAAATTTTTACCCAGAATTTATTTTAAAGTGGAAGCAACTAATTTCGGTTTCTGAATGCTCTGGTTTTTTTAAAAAAAAAAATTTTAATATTCTAAAGTTGATTTTTAATATATTATCCAAACAAGTTTCTAACAAGTTAATATTTTAATAAAAACATATTCAACATGAATTACATTACATTAATTATATTTTAATATCTTGACGTGAATTCGCAAAAATCAATTAATTCTTGTAAGCCACAACAACTACAGGTAGGTTTTGTGTTCATGGTAGGTACTAGCTACTAATTACATGAAAGTGCAGGTCGGCAAAAAAAAAAAAAAACAGAAAGTTTAGGGGCTATCATACTAATAATATCATGGAAGTTTAGGGAGTGATTTAGAAGAAATTAAAGTTAAGAGGATATATACATATATATATATATATATATATTTTTTGGCTAAAACAAGATTTGAAAAGGTCAGGTTGTTAGGGGGGAAAAGGCGAGGTCACGTGAATTGACTCGGAAAGGTAGTGAGAAAGGAGAGGACGGATTGTGGTTGGAGGGGGGAACAGTGGAATGGTCCTTTATTAAACTACCTGTGACTTACGCTGATTGATGAGGCGCTCACGCTTATGCCGTGACCCTTGTGTTTCCCCCTCTTTGCACTGGACAGCAAATTTTTGTCCTTGTTCTGCTCGAAAACGACGTCGCATCTTCCGTCTCTCTCCTTCTGTGTCTCATGTAATTAATCTGAGTCGCTGACTGGGGCCCACGCTGCTCCTCAATCACAGATGATCTCTTCCTTTTTTTGACCTTGTACAGGTGATCTCTACTGGACACCGGTTCTTGACCAACGTAACGAGTCATTTCTTGTGGGGCCTGTTGGCAGACGATACTCTTCTCATTCTATTTTTAAATTACTTTTAATATATTTTATATAAATTAAAAAATTTTTAAATTTTATTAACTTTTATTTAAAATTTAATAACTTCCTCACTTTATTCTTATTTAATATACATTATACCTCTTATGAATAAAAGCAATATAATAATAAATAAAGAGTAAAATTGTACATATATACAAATTTTTTTCTTAGTATCTTATAAATAAGATGAAAAAATATTTTCTCTCTCTACTCTATAAATAGAATCACAAGAGTATTTATTTGTCTTTAACATGTATATCAAAATAAACAAAATTCACGACCTATATAATAATTATTTTTTTGGTTTTCCTCTTCGTTTAACATGACATTATTTTAAAGTTTTACTGCTTTGAATAAAAGTATCATCAAAGACAAAGTGAAAATCTAAGTCAGAATAAGTAAGGATGGATGATGAATTGTTTCTCTTTTCCCTGAGCACATGACTTCTTTGATATCGATATACTGTCTGGTATTAAATATAAGTATCACATTTAGTAAGAATTTAAACTTTAATTTCTCATATTATAAAGGACGAGCTGTTTTCATTAGATTTAATTCCTGTTAAAAATAAAATGTGTTTTTTTTTGTCATAATAATTTAAGGATAGCTGCAGGATTAACCCATGACCTCCCACTTCTTTGAAAAAAATTTGTTTTTTTTCCATGCCATTATATCAAAAGATTATTGGTTATTTTTGGATCAGTAAACATTTATCATGTACAATAATTGATTGAAGTATTAAACAGTTTATTAATACAAATTATGTCATCAATTTTTTAAAAAAAGAATTTATCCTCGGATTAAACCAAACCCGGAAAAGCATTTGATGAAACTCAAGTTGCTGATGATAAGGTAGCAAGTGTAGGAAAGTGCCGGAAAATGTTCAGGAACCAACGGTGTAAATTCAAGGGGGAAAATATATTATACAATAGTGCATCTCCTTGGAAAAATACTACCTATATCCTACTTTTATAAAAAATAACAATTGAATATATAAATTTTTGACTTTACAGCTGAAAATGCGTTATATTAACCTCGTGGGAAAATTGAATGACTTCAATTTTTGGCAAAGGAGCAAATTAGTGTAAGGACTCTCTCTCCCTCTCTAAACCTGTTTGGGTGCCTTTTAAAACTATAGTTTGGAAGGCAAAATCATTGTTTAGATAAGATGTCACCCAAACAGCATCAATTTTGGAGAAATAATCCAAGACTATGATTTTGGAGCCCAAAATCATGGTTTCAGGAGAAATAAATATATTCTGTTTTTGGCTCAAATTGGAGAGTATGATTGTACCTGTCAGAGTAGATCTCAACAATAATATGACTTTAATATCCCTCAATTATTTTTTTATAAACATATTTAATCTTATATCTTATAAATATATATACACATATTAATTAATTATTAATTATTAATTATATTATCTTATGTATTATTAATTATGTTGGTAAAAAATATATTATTAACAATTTTATTCCTTCAAATTAAAATATATCATAAAATATATCATTTATATAATTATCATATTAACTTATGTTTTTTTCAGTAATTTGCATATATAAAAAGTGCTTCTAATAACAACTATCCAAACACTCTCATTTCTCAGAATCACTTTTTCACAAAATCTATTCTTCAAAAATCTATTCTCCCCAAAATCTATTTTTGAGAAGTTATTCTTCAAATCATGGTTTGGTTTCATCCAAACACTTCCAGATCTGTCTTTAAGGATGAGTATATTCTATTGACAATAAAGATTAATTCTTCACTTCACTAAAAAAAAAAGATTAATGTTT